AGAGGTTGCGGATCATCTCCTCGAAGGCCTCCACCAGCTGCTGCTCGCTGTCCTGGTCCGTGTGACGCGGCTCGAAGCCCAGCAGGATCCGCATGGCGATGCGGAACATGAGGCGCTTCACTTCGGGGTAAACCAGGAGGCAGGAGCCGCCGCTGCGCAACCAGCGCGCCAGGCAGGCGTTCACCTCCTCCTGGATGCCGGGGACGTAGTGCTGCAGGGCCTCCCGGGAGAAAGCCTTCATGATCACCTGGGGGAGAAGGGGAAGGCTCAGGCCACCGCTCCCCGCGCCACCCCAGGGGAAGAGCGCGCCGGAGCCGGAGCTCAGCCCAGTTGGACAGGGGAGCGCACACCCGCCCCAGCCGCACAAAGGAGGGCACCACTCCTGGAGCTCTGAGAGCGCACAGGCGGCAGCCCTGGCCGGATGCAAACCGGGGAGCTGCAGCCCAGCTCGCAGGGCAGGTGTGGGGAGAGGGAGCGGGGCTCGCGGTACCTTTTTGCGGTGCTTGTGCTGCCCGTCGTGCAGGTTAGAGAGGCAGCCAGACCCCAGGATAGTGCGCACCGAGGCCGGCCACTGCACCGACACCAGCCGATGCTCCCCGAGCAGGATGTGCCGCACGTTCTCGGCCCCCATCACCCGCACGGTGGGGCGCCCGAAGAGGTGGGTCTTGTAGATAAACCCGTATTTCCGACGCTTCATCTGGAGAAACTTCCGCCGCTGGAGGGAGAGAAGTGCAGTGACAGCGGGGCTCCGGGCCAGCCGCCCGCCCGCCCGCCTCCCCGGCTAGCGCTGCCCTGCTCTGGCTACCTGGAGCTCAGCGCACTCAGGAGCCGCGACAGCTGCTGCCGCCAACCTGATCCCACAGAAGGAGGAGCCGGCTCCCCGAGTCGCCCCTGGCTATTCCGAGGGGATGTCCCTTCCCGAAGCCGGGCGGAGGCAGGGAGAGCTCGCGGGGCCTTACCTGCAGCACCAGTTGCAGCGTCTCCCCGAAGAAAGGGAGCCCCATGGTGCCCGGGGGCAGCGGCAAGTTGCAGCCGGGCTCCCGGCCGCTCACGCAGTACAAATTCCACAGCTTCACCGCGGCCAGGAAGAGCAGTAGGGGCAGTAGGACAGTGCACAGAGTGCTGGCCAGCAAGGTGGAGAAGCCCATGGCTCGCGAGCAGCGCCTGCAGCCCCTACCTGTCTCTGCAGAGCACAGCAGCTCACAGGCCAAGCCCCGCCGTGGGCCCCCTTTTTATAGCCCTCCCCAGGTTGCTGCCCACTCCACCTTGGTCAGATAAATTAGTTCACCCAAAGTTCATCTTTAATTACGGATTGTGGCCTGGCTCCTCCCCCCGAAATCTTTAACTGTTTGTTTTACGCGGTGGCTTCTCCAGGTCTCCCTCCTCCAGGAGCTACAGACAAGCCACAGAGCTGACTGTGAAAAGGTGCTAATTTCACCCGGACAATAGGGCTCGCGGGAGAGGGGGCCTCAGATCTCAGCTCCTTCAGGGCGCTATTCTGTAGCTCGTTGAATAATCATTAAAGGATGGAATGGGGGCAGAATTGCAAACAGCTGCTAGTTCAGCTCGTCAGGATCAAGGAAAGACCAGCTAATTAGCTGCATCCCTTTTACCTTTATTTATCACTCATTCAACTGAGTAAGAATATGTTGAGGCAGATTACAGAAATGCCTTGCTCACTTTGTCCTTATGCCCAGTTACATGGGAAAGCACATACCGTGTTTATATTTTGCCTCTATGCGTGGTTTGATAACAACCATACACACAACCGATCTTTTTTAATCTCTCCTACTGCACTTTGCAGTTCAGCATTTGTTTTAGAGACCTGAGCCTCAGGCTAAAGGCGAAGAGCTGTGCGAGGAGTAGTTAATTGGACTTCGCCTGGTTCCGGGTTGGTGCTATTGCTCGTTAGCACAGTGGGAGCAAGTGGCGCAGACCCTGGACAGCACTAGCGGGGCTGGCTGGGCCAGGGACTGGGCGCTTTGACCATCTCCTCCAGGTTCTCCCTGGGTAGGACTGAGTTCCCACAACTCCAGCTGCAAAGCGCTGGGTCGGCCGGAACCCAGCTTTGGGTTTACAGGATAAAAACATAATTATGTCACTGGATCACGAATAGCCGCCGCTTCACCTTGTCCTCTCAAATTAGTGCGTGGCCTGAAGTTCACCTCAAAGGCCCAGCTTGTATTTATGGTCAGGTTCCTGAGAGGAATCAGCATCAGGCAGGAGTAAATTCTGAAACTTATGATGCAGCGCTAATGGCAGGTTCAAACGCAGGTCAGCGAGGGAAGGCAAGGTTATATCAAAAAGTAAACATCCAGGCTATTGCCACCCACAGACTTTTATAGACGCTTAAATCATAGATCACAGCACCCGCAGACCTGCGCCTACGCGTGAGGTTTCTGGTGCTTCTCATCCTGGACCCTGGAGCATAGCTAGTCCTTTCCCCGGGGCTGTTCTATGTGTGAATCTTTTCTTTTGCAACCTGCGGTGATGGGTTTGCCTTTTCAACAAGCAGATCAGTAGCCACCATCTGTCTGAATATAGGTGGGAGGCAGATAACCCACAGGCCGCCATAACATTCTGGGAAGAAGGCAGAGGAATTCGGCATACTCCCCAGCAGCAGTTTAATTCAGAGGGGGGGGGGCTAATTCTCCTGGCACAGAGGCTGGGAGATAGCTATGTGTGCCTGGAAAGCGGACTTCGCCCTGGCTATGTGCTCCCACAAACCGTACAGAGAATTGCCCGGGGTCTGATGTTCATCTGTAGAGCATCCAGGAGGCAGGAGTGCTTCACAAATGCTGGGAAATGTTTTAATGCGGAGCCGCTTTATATCACTGCGGTGCAAATCGGAATGGCAGGGCTGACTGCTGGGAAAGGATGTTCACGGGCGGTGGCTGCCACAGACCCTTCGCTCCTCCCACTCACGGCTGTAGATTTAGAAGAGGTCGCTGTAAAGGAAAATACGATCAGGACTGGAATGACTATCCAGTTCGTTTGGGGATCCTAGCGTTGTACCTTGGCGAAACCTTAACAAAATATTTTGGAGCAGAGTTGAAGTTCCCGTCTGTGCAACCAGAGACGTAGAACACAAGTACTTGTTGGTTGTTCGCCAAAAGAGCAGCCAGCTGCTAAAAGTTTCCAAAACACCGATCGCTCTGCCTGCTCTGTCATGTGCCTCATCTCTGAACTGTATGCTTACACCCATCTGATTGCAATCGGTAGCTTTACAATCAGTAGGTATTGGTATTCGGAAACGTGGTAGCTCCGGGGACACTATATAACATCTATCAGGGGGTAGCCGTGTTAGTCTGTATCCACAAAACAACAAGGAATCTGGTGGCATCTAATAGATTTATTTGGGCATAAGCTTTCCTGGGTAGAAAACATTTTTTACCCAGGAAAGCTTATGCCCAAATAAATCTGTTAGTCTTTAAGGTGCCACCGGACTCCTTGTTGTTTTTATATAACACCTACACAGATAACACCTGTCCAGAAATCACTGACTCGCGGTTACCGTTATTACAATAAATGCAGCAGTAAGTAGTTGAAGTATGACAAACACTTATCATAAAGCCTTACATTTGTATCTAGCTTAGGCACCGTTTCGTAGAAATACGGCAAATGAATACAAACAAGATCCTCGATAACCTTCAAATTACAGAACTTTTTCTCCCCGTGTTTGTTGCTCACTACTTGGCTGAAATGACCCTCGCCATTTCTTTTGTAAATTAGTGACTAAGCTGGGAAATGTTTAAAGGGGCACTCCGAGGTTCAAAGTAATATTTGTATCTAGAAAATGTCCTTGCATCTAATATCGATAATATATTAAAAGAGAAAGAAGTTTCAAAATCTAAAGCGCTGTCACTGTTGTTTGTCATATGTTTATATATTTATTTACCCTATTTCACTCAGCTTAGACGGTACAAGTAAACTATTCAGTTTCATTTTTGTCTAGTCAATTTCGCTTTCTGGTTCCCTGCCTAACCACAATAAACATTCGAGCGCGATTTTTTAACGGAATCTAAATGTTATCTAATGTACCCCCTTTTATGTTTTCTGGAAGACATGACTCGGGGAGTATTTCTGCTTAGTATTTAGTAGCCTGGTTGCTTTGACAATACCTGGCAATGTAGTCGTTGAACGTCAATATTTCTGTGCCGCATGCATATTCTTTTGACTGTTTCCTAGTTCTGGGACAAGACACTTAACCTATGCTTAAAAACGCAAATTTATTTCTAGATGGTGCAGGGTCAGCAAACGACCTGACCCGGTAGGGCTAAGGGCTTTTAAAGTTTAGAGTTTAATTGAAATGGTGAACTCCTAGTTCCTTAAAAACATTTATCGGTAAAGGGTGGAAGCATACGGTGATTATTGTACACATGCCTGCATATAATGTAAACATGTGTATGCGGGTTGTTTGCTGTGCTCAGACGTGATATATCATTGTATATTATATTATTTCAGCCTAAATTTAATCTGGTAAATTTCCCTATTTTCTGTTTAAAAGGCTCACTTTGTTCCCATTCCCCCACCCCTCCTCTGACCTAAATAAACCAACCAGTGGTTACGTTGGCGGCTTCTGAGCCCTCCAAAGCTGGCAAGGCAGTTCTCTGCCTAATAGGGATGATCATTTTCTGGTGTCTCCGTATCCTCAGTGAATTGCGCTGGGAGCAGTAGCACGACCTCGGGGTTCTTTCCCATTCCCATACTCTGACCTGCTTGTGACCTACAACACGGACCGTGACATCTGAATGAACTCTTGCCAGCAACTTCGCCAAGTTCACTGTCCATCAAATAACGAGATACGGTGGCCTGAGCACCGATAATTACCACAGGAAACCTTTATTATCGCCACAGCCATCTATTCTACAGTCGTCAGTCCGAACAGAATCATTCAACCCAATGGTAAAGAGTGAAAGGGATAATTAAAGACATCTTGGAAGGGGGTCAAGAAATTAACAGCCTGAGAGGAACAAACTTTGATTACAAGTAGTAAATGCTTCACTTGCAAATGCTCATGTTTATTAGAAAAACAACATCAGTTTCAAGTCTTTTTTTTTTACTAGATTCACATTACGTTATTGAACAACGCGGTTACAGTGTTAGTGTTCAGGGTAATTTTTGAGCTTGGTCCTGAAGAATCGACGATTGCTTCTCATCCAAGCTGCGGGAGGAGGCTCCAGAGCTGCATTTGCCAGTCGGCTCCCCAGCCGATTATTGCCTAGGTGAGCGGCCAGGTCCCACCGAAATAAAACGGAACTGGAGGTGGATCAAAGGTTCGCCTACTTTTCTTTAAGAGGATCACAATAGCGTCACTAGCGTTTGGATAGATCAGTTCAGTGGTTGTGCTAATTAAAGTTAGTCATTGACACTTGTATCCACCGCCTACTGATTTCCCCTCCGTTCACCACAAAGATTCACCTTAAAGACAAGGTCAGGAGGGCAGAGGCTTCTGGTTCACTAAAGGGTCAACCTGCCAACAACACTTAACTCCGACTTTCAGTACAACCTTTTCCAGATTTGACCTGTCACATTTGGAAGCCATGTTTCTGCTCTAGGTAGCTGAGATGCTGCATGGAGTGAAATTATGTTACCCGACTTTCTGATGTTTAATTAGGAATACTGATCCAGGTAAGTTAGCTGGGCGGTGGCTGCTAACACTCTGGCTAACAGAATAATAAATCATTCCGGTTGGTTTTCAGGCAGTGGGTTACCATTTAAGGCAAGGGGGCTCAAATATTTTGACTTTCCTCGTTTTGGGAGATTGCAGAAGGACAAGAAAGTTTATTTAGGGCAGAAGTGTCGTGGGAGAAATTATCCTAGGAACCAATGTGTCAGCCTTCACAAAGGGCAACTTCATCCTACGGATAACAGGTTTGGGGATGTAGGTGTTCTGTTCGACCTCTCAGCGATCTGATACATTTTAATATTGCACAAGAGCTTGACCTAGAGCAGGAGTAGCCATATTTTCCATCAACATGTATGAAAAGTAATTATCAGATGTTTCCATTTCCTTGCTTCCCCCCACCTTTTAGACAGACAGTATGTACGATGTGCCTTAGCCAAAGCCCAGTGAAGGCTTTCCATTGACACCAGTGGGCTGCCATCATGCCCTAAGTGAAAATGAAATAATGTATTCACTAATCTACACAAATAATACTTAGTATTACCCTAAACTCTCCTCTCAACGCTCCAATGTAACTGCCATTTCCATTCATGGACATGAAAGGTAGGCACCACAGACCTTTCATTTTACCATTACAAAATATCTGTGAGAAATTCTTTTACAAGGGGAAAAAGAAAAATACTGGAATTGAAGAGCAGGAAATGGCAGTGCAGACAGTATTCAGAGACCTTCTAACAGGTCATTCAGCACCCAACCTTAACTCCACATGAATCCATATTTAAGTCATTGTGCACCATATGCTGCATGACAAGTGGTCTTGTTGCTCACTGCTGCTCTGATAGTTACTGTAATGTGACTATCACTATAAATATTGAAATCATTATTCTGGAAGAGGGACCAGAGTGTATGCACAAGAAATGGTTTTCGGTCTTTAAAATCAGGAACTTTTCAAAATCAAATAGTTAAATGTCCTGACTCTTTAAATGTTTATTTTAAAAAGATCACTTCCCTGTTGAAATCTGATTCTCTCATGCAGGTTTCAACCTGCAACTAAACTCTAGGGCACATTTACTTTGAAAATGGGATTTAATGATGGATCCTTAATAATAGCAGCACAGTCCTTACTATGATACAGTGTTAATGGACAATATTAATATACAGTACTATCAGAATGCATCTTTATCATCTGGGCTCTCATGGAAAGTGTCGGAGTGAGATGAAATACAAACAAACTCTTTACATTAATCTATCGGAAGTTAGAGAGTTATCAGAAAGTTACAGATAATTGGGATGTATCTGACAGGTTTGAACCTGTCAGATTGCAGTGACCCCTTAGATTTTTCTCTTTTTAAATATCCATGGAAAAATCTAAAAGGCTATGGCACAACGTGAAAAAAACCCACTCCCCCCCTTACAAATACATGTATCCCATACGGCATAACTCTTCTGCATGTGGAACAGGAAATTCCAGGCCATCTCTAGCCATGCGCTGTAATGAAAATGTGCTAGAGAGAGTTATTTTTCTCTCCTTTCTGCATTATTCTCTATGCGATCAGAAGGAAGGGGGCAGGAGGGCTGATCAGGACAACAGTGTGGCTTGGAAGGCTGTTCAGTGGATAGGGCGTTCCCCTAAACTTTCAAGAGTCAGGTGAGAGGTAGCAGGTGAATCTAAATCCCCGGAGAGTCTGTTTTAAAATCTAGAACCGTTGGTTTCTTCCCCCCAGCCAACACCTCTAGGTCTGCCAACACTTTGAAGTTTAAGGAAACTGCATACTTGGATCTTGCACTCTTTCTCGGTGGTTTGGACCCCTCGGAGTGCATCTGGGCCCTGGTTTTCCCCACCCCGGGTTCAGTGAGGATGGCACAAACCAAGCCTTTCTAATGTGCAAGCGGACGAAAAGGAGATCTCACCGGATTTGCTGCTTCATCCGGAGCCCCTCTCCTGTTGCCGTGGTGGGCAGCAGCAGGGCACCGAGAAGGAGGGGATGGATGGGCTAGGCCCCCTCTCAGAAGCCGGATCCCAGCCCCGCTGCAGGGCACTGCGAAAAGGAAACGGGGCCAGGGGCTCGTGTCCAGCTTTCTGTGCCCGGTCGGTACAAATCCTGGTGCTTGTCCCCCACGCCCGGCCCTTCTGAGATCTGCTGCGGGCGGCGTCCGCTCTCGCCCTGCCCGCAGCCCGCCCCAGCGCGAGAGGCCGCGGCGAAGGCTCAAGCTTCCCGGGACGCCTGGCGGCGGGTGCTGGCGCCGCCGGGCTGCAGGGGGTGGAAGAAGAGCTGCAGCCCGTCCACGGGATGCACGATGGGCACCGTCTGCATCTCGGGGAAGCTGGGGGTGGCCAGCTCCCAGCGGGCCGTGCTGACCAGCTCGATGGCCAGCAGCTTGAGGATGGCCTTGGCCAGCTCCTGGCCGATGCAGCTCCTGACCCCCCCGCCGAAGGGGATGTAATGGAAGCGTCCTGCCCCCTTGCCGTCCTCCTGCCGGGCCGAGCCGAACCGGTCCGGGTCGAAGCTCTCGGGGGGGCTCTGGTACACGGCCGCGGTCTCGTGGGTGTCTCGGATGCTGTACATCACGCTCCAGCCCTTGGGGATCTGGTAGCCCTGCAGGGGAGCGGGGAGAGGAACATCAGCTAGCGGGCAGCTGGCACCGGCGCTGGGGGGCCCTGGCCTTGTTGAGCTGCTAGAGGGAGCCCTGAGGTTGCGCTGCTGCTGCTCCTGCTAAGGACTGGGGCCCTGGGACCCGCCTCGCCTAGTATCTGCCCGATCCGGGCCTCCCCACCGCCAGCAATCCGTTCCGTTCGGCCGCCAGAGGGCGACACTCCGCCCTGCCCAGAGCCCCGGACCCGGTTCCCACGGCCCTCCGCTAGAAACCGGCTCTGGCTTTCTCCGGGAAGGTCGGGGAGTTGGGTGGCATGTTTCATTCGATCGGGGCCGGGGTGCCTCCCTCTGGGGGACACTGGATGCTAACTAACCACCCTGTCTAATGCGGCAGCTTCAGACAAGCTTCCCCCCCCCCTCCCCGTAGGACACCGGGGTTAATGGAAATAACTTATTGCTCTTCCTCCGTGCAGAACCCTGCAGCAGGAAGGGCACTTTGAGACCAGAATCCTGCTCGCCTCGCTCACGCCTGTAGTCCCAAGGGCACAAACAGGACGTGTGATGACGCCAGCTGGATCCAGGGCCTGTTCCTTCAGCTCCTACTCAGACAAGCAGTCCCACTCCTGTTGTGTTCATTGGGGCTACGGTGCCTGAGCAAGACTTACTCTCCTATTAGTTGTAGAACTGGGCCTGCCGTGTGATTTTGCGGTTCTATACTGCTCTGTTTCGTTGTCATTTCATGTATTCACGCTGTGATATTGTCACGTTTCGGTATTTGCTGATTTAGTAAAATCAGTATCATTTGATTTTCAGGGAAGCAGCCAATACATTTTTGTGCACTATATAAATAAATTAAAAATAAATAACCAATGATTTGATTTCTAGATGCTTTATGTTTTCCATGTTCTGTTTTAAGTGGCCAGTTAGCTGTGTGCAACATTCCCCTGTATTCTGTGCTTTCTATAATGGTAAAATGCAAAAAACAGATTCGGTGCAAATTTATTTTGCACTAACTCAGGTGCACCTGCAGTTGGCAAAATGTCATATCTTACATCTTAACAAGTGTTTCACACTAAAGATAAACTCGTTCTACAGACAAGTTTTAATAGTCGCACAGCTGCCATTATTAGTAAATCAGCCCTTTGAAATACCCAGAGGTCACTAACGAGGAAGAAGACAATGGTGTAAAACTGTCTGATAAGACATGCAGATACACATAAATGAACTAAAGCTGCTTGGCGCAAAGCCAGTTTTTAAACAATTGCAAAACGGAACAGATAACTTACATCCAGCTCAAAGGTCTGCAGGGCAGTCCTGTAGCCTCCAGAAACGGGCGGCAGCACGCGAAGGACCTCCTTAATCACACAGTCCAAGTAGCGCAGACGGCTCAGTTTATCCAAGTTCATCTCAGGCTGACAATGACACTCTGCCTCTGGAATCACTGGCCCTGTGGGCACCTCGAACCTGCTGGGCGGCTGGCCGGCTTCCTCTTGCCTGTGGTTTGAATAATGATCGTTTGTATTCAAACTAATTGTTTCTTGTGTCATTCTGGTTAACGTGAGCTCCTTAAGGAGAGGAGGCCGCCGGATAAAACCACCCCCAGCCTCTCCTTCTGCCTTTAGATCAAGTTGCTGACTTTGATTCTTCGGTGTCCCTTCTGGCGTGGAGAGGAGACGCTGTTGAGAGTCACTGTCCTTCCTTTCTTTCTCCTGGACCATCGGTGTATCTTGGCAGGGTTCAATATATGGGTGGTTCTTTTGGGAGACTGCAGGCGAAAGGCAATGGCACTGCCTATGCAATTCATGGGACACCAGTTCCTGTCTTATTTTTTCTACCGCCGAGGGGTGTTTCAGTAGCAGAAGAATCAGAGAAGTGCTGGCACTAGCAGTGGTGAAGAAAGCAGCAAATATCAGCTCAATCGCTGACTCCTGCGAGATAATCAAATGTGACAGTTTTAAATGCATTTGTGTTTTAATCTTCAAATCATACTCCCACCTGTTCCCTCTGAGCAGAGCTGTCTAGCCCCACGTGGCCCGTCTTCATTTCCATCGTTTGAGTGTTTAGAAACTCAGATCTCTGTAACTTTACAGGACTTGCGTTCCTTTGCTAACCGAGCATTATATTGCACGTCTACCACTTATGTAATGGATTGTTTATTCCACTCCTCCCTACGAACCTGCAAACATTATCAGTAAAAAGAGAAAGAAAAGGAGAAAGAACCTGGCTGAGAATTTTGTGAGCAAAGGTTATCCTCACACTTAGCCTTAGAGATCTGGATCTCCGGCTGCCAGACATTACATTTGATATGTACAGATTCTTCCACTCTCTTAAAGAAATCATCGCCAGATAGGCATGTCTTCTACTTTGCTGATGGTGGATATTAGTCCGGGAGTCCTAGGTTCCTATGCTACCATCTAAAACAGGTAACGTTTGTTCAAACGCCCCCTGAAGTCAATGTGAAGACATGTACATGAATAGAACTGGACTCAGGCCAACAGTGAGTAAAAGTAATAAGAACTTGCTGTGCCATCATAATTTATGTATGTGAACCTCTGCAGCTCTGCAGCCAATAGAGAGTTACCTGGATACAGATGTTTGACAAATCCCGGGATCTTCGCTTGCCCCAGAGGCAAGGGCATGTCAGAGTCTGTAGATTAACAAACTTTCTTATTGCTCGATGACATTAGTGGAACATCTAAAATCCTGTCAATGATCTTCGATGGTTCAAAATTCCCTGAGGCTATCAACCTTTCTCCCATGCACCCACACTGTGCATAGATGTGCCGCCACCTGAACTAAATCGCCATGGGCTGGATTTTGCAAGGTGCTGAGCTAAACATTAAGGGGATTCTCCTACTCACGTGCGTCAAGTTAAGGGCTTTGCTGGATTGCCACACAGTGTTCAGCATCTGGCAGAAACTAGACCTTTATAACAAGTCATGGGACAACCACGGAAGAACTCCAGACACTGTCCCCTGCACGCCCCCTTCCCATGCTATTTAATGCGGCGTGAAAAACAAGCCTAAGGATTCAATGATTCCAATTGCTTCCTAGAACCAAAACCTGAGGTGTGTTGCAAAGGAAAACAACGGACCCGAGTGTTATACATGTACTATGTCCATACGATGCTTTACATACATGTTTGTCACAGTGTGGCTCTGATAACTCAGCACACAGCCAAGCCACAGAATGATCCCACAGCCCCTCCCTTTCCCCCCCCCCCCAGATGAAAGCCTATAAGAAGGGAAGGGGTGAATCCAAAACACATCGGCGAAATCCTGGCAAAACTCCCACTGACTTCAATGAGGCTAGGACTCCACCCCAAGGCTTCCACAGAGCTTCTATCGCGCTGCTCCCGTGTAAAGACCGGCGAGCTGGCGGACTGCAGGGGGACACGGAAAAAGCCCTAGTGGAGAAGCGGACTGGACTCAGTGTGACCCCGGCGCAGGTTTCTTCTCCCTACGAACCGGCCCAGCGGCGGGGCCGAGCTACAGGATTCCCGCGGAGTTTGTTTCCTTTTACAAATATACATCTGGCCTGGGAATACCTGGCAGCGCCAAAAGAGCTGATTTCCTATTAAGGGGAGCGGGAAAGCCACACACACAAGGCCATTCCGCTTAAAGCCCTGAAGTACCCGGAGCCAATCCCGCTATGCCGGGGCATTGCAGGGGTCCCATAGCAAGGATTTTCCTTTGCTACCAGACCGAGGCACTGCAGCTTAGCTAGGGCTTGTTTTCCTTGGTTTGGCGGGGGAGGGGGATTTGTCAGTGTGCTGGCTCTCCGGGACACCTGCAGGATGTATATAACGCTGGCAGAACGGGGGCTGCTTTCCCCCTGTATCTGTGCACATAGCTCCCGTAGACATTAGCAGGAATTGGGCATTCCCGAGAACAGTACACCGTTTGTGCTAGTGACGACAATGTCTTGGTTCTCCCAATGCGAAGTTCCACAGGGAAAGCTCCGCGTAGTAAAGTGTAACACCTTCTACATCCGCCGCATAGCAGCGGATGGCACTGCTGAATCAGGGTGATGCTGAGTTCCTCACTGTTAGTCTTTACAATGCTAATGTATCACCGCACAAAGGATTAAAATAAAGCCGCTCGCAACGTATTAATGTGGCTGGAAAGAACGTCCTGACGCTAGAATATTTTATTAATCTACATAGTATTTTATTTATTCTTTTATAGCCAGTACATTTGGGTGTCTTGTAGACCTCACCTCGCCTCTTATTCAGTCTGGTTCATTATGGAAACAGCCTCAGGATTATCCTGTTTCCTACAAACTTAAATCTCACCTTTATTGTGACTTTACTGCAGTGGTTTATAGTTTAATTTATGTTAGTGCATTCTCAGAAAGCAAGATGCCCAATCCCCCACTGCCTTCTGTGAGATCTCTACGCCGCTATGATAAAAGATGTGCTCTTTTCCCTTTTGGCTTTCGGATTTTTCTGGTGGTTTCGATAAAACGGTGGGCTTTTTAACCTGGATTGTTACAAGTCCTGATTTTGTAAAGCACATGCTGCATTCATTCCCCCAATACAATTCCCAGCATCTCTCGGGGGTGGAAAGTGCTCTTTGACAAGTATTTAAACACAAAGCGAATCAGGAAATTAGTGTACACTCGCGCTTGGCGTGTCTCTCAGAGATTTGTATCCAGTGCTGTAAAGCCACTACGATTTTTTTACCTAGGCAGATCATTCCACTAGATTAATATTCCGCTGTCATTTTATTTTAGTACAAGGCGCTGCCACATTAGACAGTAACCATAAATTATTTTACAATCCGCAGGAAAGTTTCTTTAAATGCAGCTGATGTAGGAAGTTTCTAAGTTCTAAGCATACAGAAGTGCATATCAATATACTAACACATGCTGACTCCCTGCCCATCACTGTTATCTCGACTGGGATGAGCCACACAGACTCTTAACTTGGCTCTATCCGTGGGGGCTCTCCAGTTGCTCATATAATTATTTTTGCATAATATGCATTAGGGATGCCTGGGTATAATCTGACAAATATTACATTACAGATACCCGTGTTTAATTTCACAAAGATAGTTATGTTCATCTCTTTTGACTAATGTCACCTATACCTCTTCTAAGCACATCTCGCTGCTCCTGGAGAATATCGTTGAGCATTATTTACAAATTCGCGCATTCTTTTTGCCCGATAGTTTAGATTTTCTTAAACATGGAGATCGGTTTTTGGGACATTTTAATTAATCTCTAAAATAGATTATTCTCCTGGTGAACTAGTTATACAATGTACAGGGGTTCCTCCCACAAACTGCTGTGCTACATAACCCGTGGCAAACACCCTCTTTTACTCAGAAGCTTACAGTTCCCTAGTTGCAGATTGGATTCCCCTTCATGGAGTTCCACATAGGATAGGATTTGAACACAAACAAATAAACCAACCCAAACCTCTTCATGAGGAAATCATTATCCCATTGTAAATACCGGGAAAGTGAACCACAGAGAGGTGAACAGGAAGTGACAGAACCCACATCTCCTGGGTACCAGTCCAGTGTCTACTCGGCCACGCTGCCGCCTCACAAGGACTCCTACCCCCTGTCTTGGAGCCAAACGCTGCTCCTTTTTGTGATGCACTCAAGTGAGAAGATGCCAGGAATGGGAAGGATCGGAGACAGAAAAGACCCCCGAATGGTTCCTTCTCCTGCCAACGCAGCATTGTTGGGAATGGAACGGTAGCATAAGGTCTCTGTTACTTAATTTGCTATGATGTTGTTGTACTGTAGCATAAGCTAAACTGACGGAGCTGGGTGTTCTGTCGCTGTCCATTTCGCTGCCTACACTAAATGCCTAAGGATTGCAGGAAATGCATAATGACTTATACCGCTGTTATGAGGAGGGATGCCAACAGGCGGTGATGAGTTTCCATGTGGAGACAATGCAATTCTGTACACACACTTCCAGATTTTCAGAAGCAAAGATTCAGAAACTTTACAAAAACTGGTCCCCTGTTCCTAGGAAATAAAGATCCGGGCTGAAATCCTGACCCTGCTGGAGTTCATAGACGTTTGGAGTCAACTGAGCCAGAATTTCATCCCGGAGGAGGCTAAGCAGCAGCGTTTTTACCATAAAAGTTAACAGTATCTTATGCCCTGAAACATATGCTCGGAAAAGAAGGTGACTTGGAAGGCTGTCAGTATTTTGGCAGTTCTGGCAATATGACAGCCAAACATGCCTGTTTTTGGAAGCCCAGGGCAATAGGGATAGAAACTGATCTTGGATGATATCTCGATATGATATTTTAAAACCCAACATTATAAATATACTTAAATCAGCTACTGCACACGCTCAGAATTATCCCAGATCTTTATAAACACTAGTTCAGATTTTTATATTATACATCAATAGTGACACCCAGAATAGCCTCGTGGTAGGCACTGACTCAGTACCAAGGGCAAATACTTTCTCAATTCTTAGGCAAAATTCCCATTGCTTTCAATTGGGAGCTTTTCCTGAGTAAGAACGATAACATTTGGGCTTAAATCATAGTGCTGTCTCATGTTCACTATTCCATAGAGCACATCCACATTCTGAGTAATATAATTAACGAGCTGATCCTAGGGAATGACCCAGAATCCATCATTCCATCTCAGGAGTCATTTTGATATATTGTTTCAAAGATATCTATGTTTACCGCCCCCTGGAACACAGTGGCCTGATCCATAGGCCCCGCTACAATAGGAGTGGGGGTGTGCAAGGAATGCACAATCGGGTCTATCATGTCAAAGATAGTATTTTGAAGTGTATTGAGAATACATGGATACGCAAGAAGCCCCATTGGATCTGGACAACCTAGCAGTATTCTAGTAAAACCAGGCAGATGCCTGGAAGAAAAGCCAGGAGGATAAGGTAGGAGGGCAAAAGAGGCATTTATTTACTTTTAAAATATTAACTCAGTTCAAATGCAAAGCAATTTAACCATGAAAAGGATGTCTGTAGGTCTGGCACACTCTTCCTAAGTGTCCGCCTCACCTGCTGTCTGCTCAGGCTTGGCAACTGGTAAGATGCTACAAAGCTCACCTTTCTCTGCTCAACACATCTACCTTAAGTGTTGGGAGTCCAATCCCTCTTTCAACATCCTTGCATTTCTACGGCGTTTGGGTTTTTTTCCAGACCCTTATTTCATCCAGGTGGACAAGCAATGTTTAGTGCCCAGGGGCACTTAAGGTGAGGAAGATGGTTAACTATAAGCTTTGTTATTGTTCATGATGGATTCTCCCAGAGTGGGTAAAACAAAGGCAAAGGCTAGCAGATATCAGTTGCCCCCCAATCAAACTGCTTTAAAGACAGTTAGAAGCAAAACAGCAAAGGAGATTCTCTTTACCTTCAGCTCCTGCATGGTGAATTCTTTGCCATGCTCCTTGGCACTGTTTATTAAGAAATCCAGAGCATCACTATGACCTTCCGAGTTCTTTCTTTGTAGTTTTTCCATTATGGCTTTCTCCATGTACTCATGTAACATATCCCGGGCTTTGATCCCCTGCGAAGAGTCAGACATGATTGTTCAGGGACTGTCCAGTGAAGCACTGTAAGAAAAAACCCGGAAAAAGACCCTACCCGGGATGAATGGCACTCAAGGACCCCAAGAATCCCATTACTCTTATTCTAACTAATACCAATACCTCAAATCCATGCTCCTTTTGTGCTCTGAGTGGTGCTTCAATCTGACACCTCACAATTAAAAGACTAGGAAGGACAAATTAATTTGTCTATGCTAGAGATACAAGGTGGATGAGGTAAGATCTTTTATTGGACCAATTTTTATTGGTGAGAGAGTCCAGCTTCGGAGCCACACAGAACTCTTCTTCAGGTCTGGGTTTGTCTTTGTTGACATTACTTGGCACTGGGCAGCTAGACTATTGGGAATTGGGTAATTTCTCCCTTTGATACTCCAAGACACCCTGTAAAGGGAAGTACTGCCAAAGGAACACTTGGGGGGGAGGGAAACAGTGAAGCTAGAGTGCTGATGCCACAGTGCCCTCTTGATGACTGCCATGAACAAACTCAGCTTCTGCCATGTCCAAAGGGAGCTTTCTGGTACCTGGATAAGAGAGGATGACTTAACAAGCCAATCCCCATCTAATGTTGGTCTCCAGAAACTTCCAGAGGCTTTTCAAAGGCAGTGACAAAGGGGTTCGCTATTCCAGATGCGTATGCTAGCTCAATATGTGATAATCACACCCAACTGGTTGTGTGTAAATGTGTCTGTCAGAAGGCTGCATTTCCATTAAAGTAACCCTCCATGCTACCAAACATCTAATAGGATATGGAGGAGTCCGCTCCGAAGCTGTCACTAGGTGAAATGGAAATGCATTCGGAATGCAAGGTGTGTGGTTCTGTAACAAGAAGCCTGTCTTGTGCGGGCCTCATCCTATTAGAGATCACCCTACTGCAGAAGCCCAGAGGCAGGGCAATCTAACCTGAAAGAAATCCATGCACAGATTTTGCTTGGATTATATTATAATAGAGTCATATACAGGAGGTCAGATTAGATGAGCTGGTGGTCCCTTCAGGCATTGAACACTATGACTCCATAATAACATTGTCACAGGCCACCAACACCACCCAGCACCCGCACAGTTAACCTAACAACCAAAATTAAACCAAAGTATTACAGCCAAGGTTGCTCAACTCTTTCCATTACAAGACCCTGTTTTTATGCATATAGCTTTGCCAAACTTAAACTGTTTGGGATGAAATTTTTCCATGCCAGGTGTCTGCATCAGGCTGAAGTATTTTAGCAATTTTTGCCCAAATGGCTCAGCCTTTTCCATGAACAAGACTAGTGAAAAATATGTTGTTTTGCCCATGTGAAAAGATTTTGGCGATCTTGAAGAGTCCCTAGCTCCCACAGGGATTTGGTGCAGGGATGATAAATTTGGCAGGGAGTGGCCTTTATGTCAGGGATGAGCCATCCCTGTGAAAATTCCACCAAATTTGGACAAGACGTAAGCATTTGAATCTTGCTAGATATTCTCAGCTAAAACATCTGGAAATTCTATATGCCCTGGGCATGCTCCAGCTTGGGTTCTGCAGGGAGCTGAGATGACTTCAACTGAAATTGTAACTCTGGGCTGCTGCAGGCCATGCCAGAGTCAGGTACTGCAACTGAAAGCACAAGAACTATCTCTCCTGTGCTCTTCATGCCCTCTCCCCCTGCTGGCATCAAGATAGCATATAAGAGGAAGCAGCCTGATTTGAATGCAGAGGGGACAAAAGCCAGATGGGGGAGTAGATTAGAAGGAGGCTGTGAAGAAAAGACACAGGACTGAGACTAAAGGCTGTCCCCGGGGGAAAAGAGGAGAGGATAAACTGGTACTAGGTGTTGAGACTGATGGTGGGAGACTGGGACTAGTTGGGCAAAGAGACTAGGACTGGCAGCTGGGTGGGGTAAAATGGACTGGAAGCTGGGTGGGAGGTGGGATGGAGGGTTCATAGATTTTAAGGCCAGTAGGAACCATCAGATCTAATGTGACCTTAGAGGAGACTGTGACTAGCTGGACAGGGAAAATGGGAACCAATGGAATGTGGGGAAGGACATGAGGAGAAGGAAGACAGATCTGAGAAGGAATCAGGGTGCTGGGGGAAAACTGGGCTTGGCTGAACAAACAGATAGGGGCAAAGAGTCTGGGGAGGGGAGGGAGAGAAGAAGACTGGACCAGGAGTCCGGGGAAATGGGACTGGCTGGGCACTGGGCAAGGACACTGGGGGTAAGGAGCCACGGGGCCTGGGTGAACTGGGACTGGCTGGGCAAGGAGATTGGGAATGGAAGAGAGATTGGGAGTAGAAGGGGATAGGGCAGAAAGGATAAAGCTTGCGGTGGTGGGGGGGGGGGGGAGGGACGAGGCAGAGGAGTCTGTGCCCACTAAAGCACACTCTCCTCCAGTGCCTAAAATTGAACCCAAGATTCCTGAATCTCACCATTCCTTTGCTGTCAGCAAATATCTCTGAAACCCACTGGCAAAGTGAGCGTCTCATGCTCCTCTAGTGCTAGTCTACATAGAGAATGATCAGTTATTCTGTTAGCTCAAGTGGCAGAGGTCTGTTGGGTGGATCTAAAGGTTCCAACCCTGTTGATGACCCATGTGAATGTCAATATGATGCCACATGACAGAAGTTCTTTTTTTTCCCCATTTTTTTCAAACTCCTAGGAAATTACACACAAATTGTGTGTAATGCACACACCCAAGAGATCATTCAATATAATCAAATATATAGATGGAGCTCCCTATAGTGATAGACTCAAGAAACTCCATCTATTTAGCTTAACAAAGAGAAGGTGCAGGGGTGACTTGATTACTGTTTGTAAGCTCCTACATGGGGACCAAATATTTAATAATGGGCTCTTCAGAGAAAGGTATAACACAATCCAGTGGAAGCTGGATTATACAAGTGGTGAGAGTGATTAGCCCCGAAACAATTTACCAAGGGTCCTGGTGGATTTTCTATCACTGGACACTTTTAAATCAAGATAGGATGTTTTTCTAAAAGATCTGCTCAGGGTATTATTTTGGAGGAAGTTCTATGGCCTGTGCTATACAAGAGTAGAAGACCACAATGGTCCAGTCTGTCATTAGAATCTATTAATCCCTTTCTAGCCCTCTCCCACCTCAAAACCCACAGAACTACAGCACAAACAGGTAAACAGATTATATACTATTCAGGTAATAAATAGATGTTAGCAAGGACTATCTCAGCCAAAGGAAGTGGCATTGTCTGAACCAGCCCACAGGTGCAGAAAACTCGTGTGCTGGTGATGTACCATGATAATAGCAAAGCCAATAATCTGTGGAAAGGAATTGGACAGATCACTATCCTTCTGAGAATATAGCATCACAGAACTGAAATTTACTCCAGGGAAAACTCCAGATGTAACATGCTTAGCAATCAAACATTATATAATACATTGACGCCAACAACACAGAAAGGTGTTGGAAGCAAATATACAGGAAAAAAAAGAAAAAGAAATGGCTACGACGAGGAGTAATTAGAGAACAATCTGTAATAAGAGAACAATCCGACACTTTATAAGAAACCAGTTCAAAAGAAATGGGGCAAAATCTAACTGATCACTGCAACTAATACAGCAATGAAACCTGTTTAAAACGTGACTCGTTACCCACTCAGGGACATGTCAGGGGTAAGATATCCAAAGAGGGAATTCCTGAGGGGACAGGGGACGGGAAGAAGGCGATTCACTGTATTTTAAAATGGCAGTAGCGATCCACCTTGCATTACGAAAGCTAGAACACATGCATGGACCTTTATAGGACAGGGTAACAGTGCGTGCTGGGCTTTCGTGGCTCTGTATTATTTACAATTCTCTTTAACTTCCAGCGCTGGTCCTGGAGACCAACCTCGGCTTTTTTGGCTACTTTGGCGCTGGACATTTTTTTTAAAGCAATGCAGCCTATACTCGGTAAGTTGCAAAAAGGCAGAGCAGAGGGAAGCAAAGCGGTGCGAGTCGGAAATGTAACCCGGCAACAGTACCTTGCGCAGCCCACTGAACGGGATGTTCAGGGGCAAGGAGAACAGATTCTCCACCAGTTGCTCAAAGGTTTTGGCCAGGTCCTTAAACTGCTTTTCTTCCAGGCTGAGGCCCAGCAGAACCCGAGCTGCAACGCGGAAAGTCAGAGTTTTAGCGGAGGAATAAACCGCGACGGAGCCAGGCTCCCTGCACCAGCCCCGCAGCTCCCAGCTCACGACCTTCTGGATCCCAGGGAGGTAGCTCTCCAGGGCAGCGCGGCTGAAGACTCTAGCCAGGATCTAGGGAGAGGGGAGGGAAGAGGGTTAGGGAGAGAGAAAAGGCTAGTGGCTCTGTCTCCAACCTGCAGCTGCGCAGTCAGGGGAACTGGGGCTACCCGCTTGGCAGCCGTCGCCAATTGGATTCCTGCTGGACGGAGCTGCCGGCCGGCTCAGTGATGACAGCCTGGCCACTAAGCAGCGTGGGCTTCGCAGGCTGCAGAGGGGTGAATTACAACCGCCTTCCCTGGACCCTCGGCCTCCGCCCCGCTCACACAGCCCCTCACTGCCTGGCCCTCTCCCACAACCACAGAGGAGTTTTACACACGGCTTCAAACACCGCCCTCCCGGGTCAGAATTCCCCGGCCACGCGCGAGTGAGCCGCGCTGTGCCGGTCCTTGCCCTGACCCTGGGTCCATGGCCACCTCCCCTCCCCGAGCACGGTCGCTGCGGAGCGCACCTTCCTCCGCTGGCGGTGCAGCTCGCCGATGGAGTTGAGCAGGGTGTTGGAGCCCAGGATGATCTGGGTGCTCTGGGGCCACTGGGTGCTGACCAGGCTGTGCTCCCCCAGCAGGATCTTGCGGATGTTCTCGGCCCCGGTCACTCGGATGACAGGCTTGCCCAGCAGGTGGGTCTTGAACACGTGGCCGTACTTCTCCCGGCGGGAGCTGTGGAAGCTAGAGCCCTGCAACCAACCGGCAGGTCAAGCGGAGAGCCACCATCGGGGCAAGGCTTGGATCCCGCCAGCCCGACCCCAGGGACAGACCCGGCCGCGCTCAGATTTGCTGGCTGCGGAGCCCCTCGCCCCATACACGCCCGCGGCTCCTCGGGAGCAAGAGGGGAGCTAGCTGCGCGGGGCCTGGCGCCCTCCGTCGCGAAACCTGCGGGGAGGAGGGAGCCCAGCTCAGGGACCCACGTGGCTCAGGAATGAAAAGCATTTAAATCCCTTCCTCACGTTTCAGTTAGTTCTGGGCATCCCAGGAGCAGCCTGATCCCAGGGGGGTAGAGGTCGGAAGGGAGGGGGTGGTGAGCCACCCGGCAGGCCATTCCCCGCCCGCCCCCAGCAGTCACCAGCCCGGAGACTGCCCACAGCCCCCGCCGCAGGGGGACACGTGCTCTCATTTGTACTTTACCTGGACAAGCCAGTGCAGGGTCTCCCCGAAGAACGGCCACCCCATGGAGCCTTTGGGGAGGGGCAGAGCGCTGCCCCGGTCCCTGCTCAGAGTCCACCTGAGAGTCCACAAGTGCCGGGACAGGGTGAGGAGGAGCCCCAGGGCCAGCAAGGCAGTGAGCACAGCTTCGAGCCAGGACAACATGCTGATCCCCGCCAGCAACATCTTCGGCTCCCAGCCGCGGCTGCTGCAGCCGGATGCCCTTTGTCGCTTGTCACCTCTGCAGCGGGCTGGGGGAGCGGGGGACTAGGCTGTCGGGAGGGAAGGAACAAGACAGGCAAGCCCTCGATTTCACCTCGTCTGGAAAAGCCCCTCTACAGCGCGCGTGGCTTGGGAGCTGTTCAGGGGTTGAAGAAAGGTGCCCACGCTCTGTCCCTGCCCCTCTCGGATGCCGCCTGGGCTAAGTGCCCTAGAGCGGGTGAGTGGAAGGTGAAACCGGCCACTTGGCAGAGAGGAGTTATTCAGAGTAAAAAAATCAGCAGCTGGGGTGCGATAGATTTACTGCCCGGGGTGAAAAACTGCTCTGCCCGCAAAACGAACCGCACTTCAACACACTAACGTTTGCGGGATGATATTTCATTTTCTCCTAGCAAAGCCGGATCCGCTAATCCAACAAAGACACTATATAGCAAGGGAGTCTCCTCTAAACCAAGGTGTGCGTCTCACTTCCTCCCCCACGAGCCCCAGGTTTGCTAGAAATCGGAGCTTCAGGAGGCTGAGCGCAGCCACCCTGGGTTCCGCTGGAGAAACTTCCTGGCTTACTAGGCGGTTGCTGGCGACTCCCCTAGCTTGGAGCAGCCAGCACTTCCAGGTGCTGCAGCCAGCATCCTGATGCCTTTCTAACTTTATCCCCCAAGGGATAAAGCCTCTGCCGCAGCGGCACCAGCAAGGCTACATCTGTCAAAGACCCCGCGGGGCGAAAGAGAGAGAAGCTGGGTACTCACGGCTTCCCATAACTTTGGTGGCGATCATAAAGGCGAAAAGTCTGCAGCCCAGTTCCTCTGCCCCCTTCCTCTCGCCGTCTCTGTCCCTTTTTAACTATTCTCTGCCTTGAGCAGTTTTATATAGATATTGGGTGCCTACTATCCGATCCACGTTCAGAGATGACGTCTTTGCTGCGTACTTAAAGAGCGTGACAAAGTGCAATGATTGGAGCCCGTGAGAAGTGAGGGTATTGATTGAAAGAGTGTGGGGAGCAGAAGAGGGGGGGGGGAGAGCTGCTGTGACAGATCCCTGCAGCTGGAGGGCTGGGAAACAGGTAACCAATGACAGCCAATCCACAGTGTCACTCACATTCTCATCCTCACCACAGCAAGCCTGCATGCCCCTCGGAGTCCAGCGGGGCAGAGCACAGCAGCCTGGGAGCCCCTCGCGTTTCCCCCAGAGCCTCTTCTCCACCGCTGACTCCATTGAACCCCCCATGCTCCATGCCATTCGTTGATTTTGATGCTACTCAAGATGGGACAAAAGTCTCAGCCCGATCGACGTGAAGTGATCCGTTATTTTAATAGTGTTTCAAAGGGAACGCTGCTCTCCAGCTCTCCTTTCCTCTCCAGGGCTCTCCCTGAGTCCCGTCCCCCACACCCGCCCCTTGCTCGTTTGCAGTTAATCCAGGCCCCCCATGTGCTAGGCGGAAGGTGTTTTACACTAGAAAGCAGCGCTGGCAAACAGATGCTTGAGGCTTGCACACTTGGTTTCCCCACCCCAAGGAGCGCCGGCCAGCCCCGCTCCCGCCCAGCCCGAGCAGGGCACGAACACACCCGGGGAGGAAGCTGCAGACACATGGGAGTTCTGCTAATGGAACGCTAAGGGCCGGATCCCTGTGTGTGTTGGCACGAGCCGGGGAAAGGGTTCCCAGTGAACTGCAGGTAGACAGCCGCTTGGGTTCCGGGCTCGCAGCTAACATTACCTGTAGCTTCCTCTATGACTCACGGCTCAGCAAGTCATTACAGTGCAGCTACACTCCCATGAAAGGACCATTAAGAGCAAGTAGCCTAATGCCTTGTGCAGCAAACATAGCGCAGGGTAACGCTCTAAATCCGAACCAACACGTTCCCGCACTAAAAGCTGCTGCAGGCATTTTAACGGCGGGCCGGGTATGACACACTCTCTTGCCATATTCCGCACGTAGGCAAAGCTCTCCCTGATGTCATTGAGAGTTTTGCCTGCGTGAGAAGTATGGGATCGGGCTAATAACGGGCCAGTGCCTCGGATCCGAGCCAGTTTCTCCGCTAAGTCCTTCTCGTGAGCGGTATTACCGCAAAGCAAATCGCTGCGCAGCAGGAAAGCTTGGGCTTTCCCGGAACTGTCTCCTCTGGAAAGCCTGGCTGGCTCAATGCGGGGTCGGCTCCTGCTCCCATCGGAAGTCAATCGGAGTTGTCCTATTGGCGTCAATGGGAACAAATGTCTCTGGGTTCTAGTTATTCTTACCCTGCTGGTCCAAACGAAAACTCTCCCTCCTTAGGTCAGAACAGCATCTTTATACAACGTATGCACAGCACATGTACTTCCCAAGGCTCTGGTCTCTGGGAGCTTGATGCAGCCTTTTCTCGCAGTAGCCCTGCACCCCATCTCCGCTTGCTAACACAGCTCCAGTTGCATCCTTTGGCGCGGCAGCATACAGGAGACACCTGTTGTTTGTTTAGATGCCAAGGTTCAGTGGCGCTCCCTTCCCTGCAATCTAGAGGCCCCTCTGGAGAATTGTCTCCGCTTTCCTTTGCTCCAGGCCTGATTAATCCTGTTTGCTGGAGGTCCAGCTCACTCCATGTATTGCCCCTGTGACCCAGGAGTAAAGAGGCTCTGGGCGGTTCGCAGAGCCTTACTATGTAGGAGAAGGGGTTCTGTGGGAAAATGACGCCGGTCAATCTAGGTCCGCAACTCTTACAGGGCAGGTCTGCATTTACAAAGGGGCCGAATAAGCTACAGCAGCACACCGGCCGGGGTGTAACGCGAGCTACAGACCCGTTCTGGTGGCTGTGGAAAACACGCTGTTTAAAGGGCAATTCTGGTAACCGGCAGTTCTCCATTCACACGCACCCCCTCTATTTTCAAAGCAATGCGTGTCCCCCAGACAAACCCCACAGAGCCCGAGCTGGGTCAACAACTCCCCAGAGCCCAACTCTGGTTTCAAACGTCTGTAGTCCCCTTTAATGCGAGACATTTGAATGATCCCGAAGGTATAAAATCCCCCCGCTTTTCGCACCCCGCCTGCCAGGCAGTCCCCTGAGCCGCTCCCTTTCCTTGCGGGCATTTTCAGGCTGAAATTCCACCCACCCCCTCAACATGGATTTTTATAAGGGCTGAGCAGGTTCCTTCCGAGTTAATCATTTGCGGATCTGCTGGGGAAAGTTGCTCTTTTGTAGAGCCCCTCAGTCCAAGTGGGGAGCGCAGGAAGAGCGAAGGAGCCTCCAAGCCCTGCTCGCTTCTCACGGGGAACCTGGGCTCAAACCCCTTCCGTAGCAGCCACTTGCGCCTGGAGAGGATACCAGAAAGGAAGGAAGACACGGGAGAGGCTGCACTGCAAAGCCGAAGCGACATCGGGTCCCGCTTCTCAAAGCTAATCCCTGCGTACTGCCCCATTCTTTGGTCATTACTGCGCCATTCTTCCCTGGAAAACATCTAACAATGGTTTTAGGAGGAGAACTGACCCAACAGGAGGAGAGCCTCTGCACTTTCCTGACTCTGCACCTCAGATGGGAGCGAGATCTCTAGGCCACGCTGAGCCCGACTGGGAATTTCATCTCCAGTTTCACACCAAGTGAAATCCCAAGGTCTAACAGAAATTCTTGCTGCTGCGTTGCTGAAGCGGTCATAGGGCAGATACTCGGGCACCAAGCTTCCTGGGACACACAAACAAACACGGATGTGGACAATGACACCATATGGAGAGTTTGCTGAACATGTTTAATATTTCCATCACGGAGGTGAAGGCGGGTACACAGGAACCTTTCCAGTCTCAGCTTACAAAGGAAAAGGAGAGTAAATAATTGAAAGATAGAAAACAGGGGAAATGAACTCTGCTGTACAGTCCGACATGAAATTTAAGTCTGAGATGCATTTTAATACATAAAATTCAAAAATAAGGGTAAGATTTATATTACTGTATTTAGACCGTCAATAACTTAAAATACAGCGAAATGTACATTCTTTTTACATGTTCCATAGATGGTTTGGTTTGTATTTATTATACATTCTCCTTATGTTTAAAGTAGCCAGGATACTACAGGGCATAGATATTGGTCGTAGGAGGGAATTCTAATTATGGGGATGGCTCTATTTGTATAAACATACATATTGACACACAGGGACTTGGTATGAGATCAGATATCGTAAATCTTTTATCCCTTACTTTAGTCTGGAGGGGAAAACAGGGGACCGGGAATCATCTACAAAAGTACAGTTATAAAGGTTACCCCTGAGGAACAGAAACCAAAGCACATTGCAGAGAATTCAAATGGTTATTTACATTCATAAACTCAAGATTAAACCACTTCTGAAGAACAAAGCTATAAGCCCTAACACTGAATATATATCAAGTCTGGTTTTCAGGTAGTTTTAAAGTGTACAAAAAAATCAGAAGATTTTTTTCGTACCTCCACACTACAAAATTGGTATACAAAATTATGTCCCAATCACTTTTAAGGCTAATATACAATTAATAAAAAGAAAACGACCAGGCAACATCTGAAACGCATGTATTTCAACGTTTAAAAATATTAAATTAGGATTTATTCGGAAAACGGCAATTAAAGGATTATAGCAAAACTTTTTTCCAGTAATTTCTAACTGGAGCAAAAATTTGTATGTAACGGCTACCCACTTCTAAATAATGTATTTACAGTTCAGGTATTTCATGTACAGTGTGAGTGACCTGCTTTTTATTTTACAGTCCCATTTCCACCATTTGTTTACAATATATAAAATAGTATTCAATTCGTTAAAAATACATACAAAGTATTATTTACTGCTATCTCCGTATACAAGCCACCTCTATCGCATTTTTCTTTTATTCAACCAAACAAGAGTCCTAATCACCATCCCTGCCTGCTATGTAGAAATGGTGGCCAAGAAATACATCTCGGCACGATGAGATACAAACGATCTAACAGGTCTATGTGTGCTGGGACATACCGTTCACTAAACTTCTAAGTTGCTTTACTACGGTCTCTATTAACTTCTGCTTGTCACGATCATTCTTCCTGAACTGAGCAAAAATATTGTTCTTTTTGCTAGTGTCTTTCATTCTGCAAGAAAAAAAGTGGATGACATAGGCATGTTAGAAATGTCACTAGCTAGAGAAAATCGGACTGGCTAAAATAAATTCAGCGCTACTTTTTCTCTTTGTTGATGTGTTCACTTCGTGTTAATAAGAGTTAAAGGTTACACAAATCTCTTTTGGAGTCTCTCTTAGCTGTGCTTAGCCTAGCAGTGTTTTTTAAATTAAATCCCAGGCATACAGACCCAGTCTTAACAAATACGACTTAAAAACCGTTTAAAACCATTAAGCTAAACATTACATAAACAGGAAACATAACACTAAAAATTACATTTGCAAATGAACAAAATTGAAGGTTGTTTAGATCCTTCTCCATCTGGTTCCATTTTTGAGTTCATTCTCAATGAAATGGTGTGCCATTCATTGATAAATTATCCGAAGTCTTTATTACCACTACTGAAACTTGAAAATGAAATATAGTGGTGATTTAAAATCGAAATACAGGAAACTAATGTCAAAATAAAAAACAATTGTATATGTATGACATGATAGGGAAATACATACCCTCTATGCACTCTGCAAAACATACATTCATTGAGGGGAAAGGAAACAAAATCAGATAACGCATTTAAATCATAATATATTTATGATTCAGTTATATGCAGCAGATTGACAAGTTGTTTTTAGCCAAAACATATATATGCTCCCCTTTCAGACTGTTTCTCAAATCTAATTAGCTACTGTAGATTCAAGTATGAGAATGTGCAGAACATCCAGAGTTTTAAATGCTTTATTTTACAAAGTGGAAACTTGGTCCCGTGATGTTACTATATTGAGCTACAAGGCACCGGAAAACTTTGAATGAGACTGTGTGCTCATTCAGTGGTGTTTTTGGTTTAATTTCCTAACCAAAATACCTTAATTTTCTCTTGGGCACAGCAAACCTGGGAAGATCGCGATACAGTCAGTGTAATATAGTACAGTACTGATTTATAAAGTACAGTAACAGTTGGCATTTACATCTCTGTTTAAAACTGGGACAACGAACAAATTGAAACGCACATTTCTAGATTCAGTTTTATAAAATGAGCCTGACAACCTAAGAGAGGCTAGCGCTTTGCTGTTCATGTTAACGTGATCAGTAACTTTATGGTACAGACTATGCTGCTAACCTTAAAGGAAAGGAGAAAGGGCAGAAGCATTTAAATTCAGCTTGTCTTTAAAACCGAGGTAGCAAGAGCTGTTGGGAGAAGATCAGCAACAGGGACGCCAGCTGCTGGAATCAGCCCGCATTCTGCTATTTCTCTTATTCACATGAACAGTAATATTTTCAAGAGAACCCCCCACAAAGTGTTGGCACTACATACTCACTTCTCCAGGAGGGTAAGGGCTGTGCTTGGATTTACTCGTAAGTACTTAGAAGTAGGTTGACCATAATCAGCTAGGTAGGTTGACCAGTCCCACACCATAAAAAGGTCCAGAAGCTACATGAAGAAGACAGAAAGACAAGCTGTTAAGATTCAGACCTAGGTTTGTCTCTCTTCCCTTGGTGTAGAGGGGAGAATGATATGTTTTAACATCCCCGAAGTACTAGCGATTTCTCAGACAAGTGGCGCCCTAGAATGGATTTTAAAACAGTCTTACATCCCCACCAGGAAACAATATGATCACTCCAGTGGTGTTTGCAAAGTGAGTCTCATAGCATTGCGACTTTACACGGAATCGTTCTGCACAAGTCACTTAACATTCTTCACCAGAAATAAATAATTAAAAGCGAAGGATTAGGCAGCAAACACCTTAATTGTTTAACGATCTCCCTTCTCTTCCTACTGCATTTTTCGTTTCATTCCCGTGCTTGGGTCTACCTTATATTTTCATGGGCTGCTGGACGTAAACCAACCTAGCAGGAGAATGTTAATGTTTTAAGCTTCCCATTTTGCTAGCCCACCAGAACATTTTACCTTTGAAAGAGAGTTTGCAACTCTACTTTTTTCCACAGTAATTTAAACCAGAGGTTCAGATAATCTTAATTAAGTGCATTAAACAACCCCCGCTGGATTCTCCATGGTGACTGATCCTCCCCGGGATTGGAAAAGGGCGGGTTCAAGATTCTGCTTGTTAGCCTTGGGAGCTCTTTTAGTCCAAACAAATATAAAACAAATTGGAAAAAAAACCCAGGCCCTGTGTTTGGTAGCATTTTAAAATCGAGTATTTGCTTTATAATCTCCCGTCAGAGCTGTTGTCAAATATAAAAGTAATCTTTTAAAAGCTAATGTGATATCTAAACTAAAGCAGCAACCCCTTTATCCAACTTTAAAACCATAATCCCCTTTAAGCCAGTTAAAACCTACTTCCTATCCACGTTTTAATTGTTTCAAACAGCTAAATACTTTACTATCGTCAGTTCGGCTTCCTATTTCTGCACCTTGTCGTTTTAATTTACCTTGTTGCTTTTTTGTTTTGTTTTTGCTTCTTTAAACAATAGAGAGGGCAAAAGAGCACTCCCATTATTTATTAGCGTGAGTCTATCTGTAATTGCCTATTTGGCTATAACGATGGGAAATGGGAAAATCCTGCAGTAGGTGTGCCCGCTACTCTGCGATGTTAAACAAAGTTCCCCAGGACTCCCTTCAAAGCAAAGGCGGCATTGCCCCGTTTGGGGCAGTTACTACAAGCATGCCCCTGGTTTTGCTAGCAATCACAGTCAATCGTTATTGCCCTGCTTGAGTAAGATACAAATGGAGCAAACACTAATTTTCGATGCCCGCTAAACTTTTCCCCATCGCTAACTGAAGAGTTTAACTCGGAAACAAAAGAAAAAACCGCCCAGGAGGACGATTTTACAGGCCTCATTCAGGCAAACCTCCCATTGACATCAATGGGAGTTTTGCCTGAGTACAGACTGCAGGCTCAGTAGCCAGCAAGCTGGCTTAGGTCAATACAAACGGAGCATCTTCGCAAAGGCAGGGCGGGCCCCATATACGCTGCTCCAGAGAAAAAAGCATCTTAACAAATGGAACGCTGCAAGCAGAGCAAACTGAAAACGCCCACTGAAGTGAAGGGGTCGCTGGAAAGTAAGCAGTTAGATCTGCCCAGTGATGCATTCAACAGTGGTTAGCCATTGAATTTTCTGGTTACCCGGACACACGGATACCCCGAGGAAAGGACCAGCCTAGAGACGTGCATCTGCTTTCCTGACTGGTCCCAATCTTGCATTGCTTGTGTCTCAGTGGGAGCTTTGGGCGCCTCCAGAAGCCAGGGGCGAGCCCCTGTAATTTGAATTTTGCTGAGGGTTTTGGTCTCTGAAGACCACGCTTTTTCAACGGGCGGGCTGGGGCAGGCTGTCGTCCTTTCTAAGCCATCATGTCCCCCCTTTGCAAATGAACACCGACTAAAATCACGCTGAGCGGTTCACGCTTCTCTGGAGGCTAATGTGGCCGTACAGAAATCAGCAGTTCCCGTTACTTTATCAATAAAGAGCAGCCGAAATTGAAGCTGCGGATCTGCAATACATTCTCTGAGCAGCAGAAAGGCGGTTCCTCAGAACTGATTTGCTGCTGCAAGCACACTCCAGTCCCGTATTAAAGCCCTCAATGTTTGATTTACTCTATCGAATATTTTATCCTTTTAAATGGAACAGTAAAATCCCACTAAATCTACACTGCAAACACACCGTCTGAAGGATAAGGACAGCTCGTTTGCCAGTTACTGACACGTGAAAAACCTGCCCGGAGTCCATTAGTGAGTAGAACTGAATCCTCGCAAATTAAAGTGACAACCAAGATTCAAACCATAATTACAAACTCCATAATAAACATGAGTCTGTGCTTCCCCGACCCCCACACTTACTAAACCATTCTTGGCTATTTCCCCAAGTAAAATGTCTCTCAAATGGCACTAGACTTTGATACGTCACCCCGCAGCTTTAAAACAAAGTTCATTTGTGGCAACATCGCTCATACCTGCATATCAATTATTAAGAACTGGTCCCAACAATGCCTTGACAAAAGTTCCCTGGCAGCAGATATACACAGGAAATAAAACACTTTCGAAGACTCCCTGAAAAGAGGCTTATCAAGTAGAATCAACAACTGCGGCTTGTGTGCTATTTACAATACTATATCCCCCCCCAATGTTTTCTATTAGCCTAGTCCAGTGCTCACTAGTTCTAGGAAAGGGTCAGCGAATATGAATCCAACTTCCACCTTCCACATCTACAGCATCAGTCCACTTAGGCTGCTTGTTTTAAACCGTTCTGTTATCCAATCTTTCCTTGAGAATAATTTTGAGAAAATTTCCTGGTTTCAAGCAGGGGTCAGCTACACTGATACAAAGCACCAGTTCAGCACACCATGGCTCCAATCCTCACTATAGGCAACGCCTCAAACCAACTCCCTGAAAATAGGTTTGGTTAATAATAAATAAATAAACAACAAAAGTTTAAATTTTTTTCCGGACAACTGTTGGGGAACAAACTCCCAATTCTCTTTTCTCATTCCAACTTTCTTTTACTGTCGGCTTTCCATTTATAGCAAAAAAGCACTCAATCACTGGTCTGGGAGTGTTACAGTATTAAAACATATTCCTCAAATAGAAAAATAATCCACCATAAGCGATTTCTCATACTATTTCCAGCAAGAAATACCTACCAATCAAAGTCAGATGACTGAAGTAAAGTAATGGGATAATTAAACTCCATCAGCCTGTATTTTTGACATGATGTCGGGTTTTGAAAATCAAATAATAAGGCGCAAGGGAAGACTAGAGGAGAGGCAAGAAAATGCTGAATAATACAATCTCTCACTCATTTGCTATACCTTATTTTAGTATACTCCAGACTAAAATTTCCTCTATAACTCTCTAAAAGACACCATCTGAGATTCAATTCCCTCCAACAAAGGGCTTCCCCATCTATTTTGAGTGTAACATTATCCAAATAAAGGACTGCTGTGACCATTCTGGCCGCTGTTTACTCAGAAATTCACTCCAGATCATTCAATCGTATTTAAATTACGGGTTTCCTTAAAATAATTAGTCTGGACAAGATTAAATCATGGTTATTTTCAGATTTTTCTAAAAGGTAGCCAGATGGGTGTGGCCAAGCTGGTTTAAAGAGACTATGTAACTGTGGCAAGCCACTAGCAATATTATTACCTATTTGTATTATAAAAATGCCCAAACCCCCCAATCAATATCAGGGATCATTAGAGTGGGTTCCCTGCAAACACAGTAAAAGGCAGGCCCTGCCCTGAAGAGTAACATGATACAAATAAATTCGGGAACCCAAGTCCTCCTTTAAAGTCTTGATATATTAATGAATTAATAACTAATACATTAATAACCATTATGCATTAAATACAAAAGGTGAAATAATAGCTTTTACATTTTATTTTTAAAAAAACTCAGTTAAATTTTATTATATTCAGTTAAATAAAATAAGGAACACATATTACTTAAATTAGTAATATCTACTCAATTATGCTTGAATTAATACGATAATATTAACGTTTGTTATCCTTCCCTATAGATAGATGTATAATGGATTTGTGATATATTTATTGATCTGTTGTCTCAAACTTCTCTAGGGAGCATTACAAGCCACAAAGATGTTCATGAGTGTTAGATTTTGTTTGAATATCTCATTTAAGTGAAAGATGTGTAAAAATTGAGGATACTATTTCATTTCCTATTGGTTACATATCTGGATATGGCTAAAGAACATGTTACTCCTGCTCAGGGTCAAATGCCAATTTAAGCAAATACTCACTCAGTTTAGCTCAAAAACTAATTATTTAAGTTGGCACTGTAACATTATTCTTTAGTTAAGCAATGCATTCTTTTGGGGATCCTCCATCATAAACATAGAAGATGCAGGTCTTTTTGAAAGGCAGTGGAATATCTGTGCATGTAAGCTGAATTGGACAACTCAGCATTTTGTGCAATGCATGGGAAGAGATAGGTGCCTGCAAATGAGATCCACATAAGACAGCACACTAGGCCTGGTCTACACTAACCTCCCAATTCGAACTAAGGTACGCAACTTCAGCTACGTGAATAATGTAGCTGAAGTCGACGTACCTTAGTTCGAACTTACCGCGGTCCAGACGTGGTAGGCAGGCTCCCCCGTCGACTCCGCGTACTCCTCGCGCCGAGCAGGATTACCGGAGTCGACGGGGAGCACTTCTGGTTTCGATTTATCGCGTCCAGACAAGACGCGATAAATCGAACCCAGAAGCTCGATTGCCTGCCGCCGAACCAGCGCGTAAGTATAGACAAGCCCACTAGGTGGGGAGCTACCTAAACTAGCCAAAGGAGGAGGAGGAGGAGAGGAGTGTGTGCTAAGCCCCACCCCTCTCATGGAGATAGGCCCCTAAATCCAGGTTGCAGGGAAGTGCCTTCTTCTGCTTAGTGATCCATGAACAAGAACCTGCTGCCTGGAGTCAAGTGCTTTGGCACCTATGGAGTTTCTTGTGGGACCACATTA